TCTCTCCTCCCTTCGCCTCCCTTCCATTGCAGTCGTTGACTTCTCCACTTTCCGTCCTGGTATCGAACTTTACACATCGCAGGACAAGGTTGTGCCGGAAGCTCGCCTTCGTATCCTGTGTTTTTCTCACGGGAACTTGATTCCGTTCTTCGTGCGTGTTTGCATACCTTTGTTATTTCGCTACCGTGTCCTGGAAGGACTGGAGTAGCCTTGGCGGTGCCATTAAGAACGTTTCTGTGGATACCAGTCCACTGTCATGGCGGGTGGCTTAAATGAATTGTCCTCATCGGCCTTCGCTCCACGGCGATCTCGGGAGCATCCGTGCTCTGATGGGCCAATGGGCACGCATTTACCTTGCGAGCACTTGCACGATTTCTCTCTCATCCTCCGTCACCCTATCCTTCCCCTGCCCCCCCTTGCTCCCTCCAGAACCTCCCCCCTCCTGCCCTGCCTCTCTCCTCTCTCCGTCCTTGTCCTCCGAGCCGAGCGGTCGTCTACAGGCTGCCCGGATTAGTAGGTCGACCCTGCCCAATCGAGGGTACCCTCGTGTCCTGTGTCTTGCGACCCGTGCCTCCTGCAGTTCTGTGGCAACGTGGCCCTCGGAAGGGTTTTTGTGTCCTCCGGTAAGGGGACAAAAAATGGAACCCCTTCGTCTTCGGCCCCGCATTCGCCCTCCCCCCCCCCCCTCACCCCAATTTCAAAATTTGGTTCGGCCTCTCGGAGGCCCTGGGGGTTCCACTTTTTTTGTCCTCTCACGCCTGTGCTGCCAGATGCCTGAGGCCAACCCTGACATTGGGGGGAAGGGGGGGCGTGGTGTCAAGGGTTCCACTTTTTTGGCCATCTACGGTCCCGCGTGTCCTCCCCAATGGAGTCCGACTGCAGGTCCGGCCACGCGCGCGCTTCCCGCAGTCGATCCTGGCCCTCGCCCGATCGCCTCGGCCCGCGGTGGCGCCTCGCTCCAGGGCCTGGCAGCTCTTCGAGGCCGTCGGCCGATCTCTCCAGATGCCTCAGCACGAGGCGATGATGATGATGATGATGATGATGATGATGATGATGATGATGATGGTGATGATGCTGATGATGCTGATGATGCTGATGATGCTGATGATGCTGATGATGATGTTTTTAGTACTACTATTATAATACTCTTATGATGATGATGGTGGTGAAGATGATGAAGAATGCTGATGATTACGATGACGACGACGATGGTGATGGTGATGGTGATGGTGATGATGATGATGATGATGATGATGATGATGACGACGCTAATAATAATAATGATGATGATGATGATGGTGATGGTGATGATGATGTTGATGATGATGATGATGATGATGATGATGATGATGATGATGATGATGATGATGATGATCTCCAGATGCCTCAGCATGAGGAAAGGGCTGGGCACAGGACGATGCCCGCGCGCGGGTCTGGTGTTGATCATGACGCCTCTCCTCAGCACGCGTGAGTGGTGCGCGCGGGGTGCCCCTCTTATCAGGTCCGCTTCGACACCGCTCCCGCGTGCCTTCCCAGCTGTCCTGCTGATCTCCTCCTCCTCCTCCTCCTCCTCCTCCTCCTCCTCCTCCTCCTCTGCTCCGACTGCCCGTATAGTAATGTCGCGCGCAACCCAGCACCAGTTTGAAGCACTTCAGGCCTCCCGCTTGGTATTCCTTCCTCTGCGCTCTCTCGCATGCGTGTCGCGTGTCTTTTTCTGTCGCCTGCCAGCCCTGGTAATTTACTGCGGCAACACACGCGCGCATCCACCCGCGGTTTGCCTAGTGCTCATGCACAGCCCCGTCACCACAAACGTGGGACGGGCTTCGACTCAGCCTGGGGATTGACACTGCTTCTACCACTCCTCCACCCTCATCTCCAGACCTTCGAAGTCGCATATTTGTCATAGCGGGGCCCTTAGAGTCCGCATCACATGGGCTGGAGGCTTCCGCAAGCCTCCGAGGACCTCCCGAGATCTCACACGGACCTCCGCGAGGTTGCCGCCGCCGCCGTCGCCGTCGTAGTCGTCGGCGTCGTCGTCGTCGGCGGCGGCGGCGGCAGCGGAGGCGGCGGCGGCGGCATCGTCGTCGTCGCCGTCGTCATCATCATCATCACCATCATCATCATCATCACCATCATCATGGCCATCAGGCTCTCGCCAACATAGCCCTTCAGCACGTCGATGTCGATCCTGACGAGGTCCTCCAGCTGCTGCACCGCGGACGGCAGGTGCTTGAGGTCTTGCGGATGCACCGTCAGCTCCTCTATAAGGAGGTCGGTCATCTGCCTTGTTGTGACGTGCCTCTAACTGCTTCATCGGGGACTGCAGTTTCTTAAGGTCTTGCGGCTGCACCGTCAGCTCCTCTTAAATCGGCGACGCCTACGGCGACTCGCGGCCGCCCCCTGCCTTTTGGAGTCGCCCGAGTGGTCGAGCGTTGTGGCAAGAGCATTGCCAGGCTATCGGACACGTGTACCCCCAGCCGCTGTGGAACCCCTTCGGGGAACACTTGGGGGAGGGCGGCGGGGAAGATCAGGAGGAGAAGGAGGAGGCATCTTGGGAGCCTCTGGGGGCGTCTTGGAGGCCACCTTGGGCGTCTTGGAGGCCCCTTGGGCCGCCGTGAGGGCCCTCTTGGGGCCGTCTTAGGGGGCCTTCTCGCCGTGCTGGGGCCCTCTTGGAGGCTTCTTGGACGACCTCGGGGCGATCTTTCGGGGCGGCCTCTCGGGGCGTCCTGGGCGCTCCCTCGGCCGACGGTCTGCCATCCTGGGCGTCTCGAGCCAGTCGTTCGGCGACTCGGGGCCCTCCTGGACCGTCTCGGGGGCCCCATCGGGGCCCTCCTGGCCCGTCCTGGGGGCCTCTCGGGTCCGAGCAATATGCAGGCACCAGGATGCGACGAGCCCCAGGAGTCGCGCGGCAAGCCCCAATAGCGATTCGAGAGCTATAGGAGTCTGTGCCCCTGGAAGAGTCCTTAGGACTGGGGGCTGGGGCTCAGGGGGTGAACAAGGACACCCCCTCCTCCTCCTCCTTCTCCTCCTCCTCCTCCTCCTCCTCCTCCTCCTCCTCCTCCTCCTCCTCCTCCTCGTTTAGGGTTTAGGGTTTAGGGTTTAGGGTTTAGGGTTTAGGGTTTAGGGTGGTGTCCTCAGGGGGCTCACCCCCTGAGGACACCACGTGAGGACACCACGTCATGCCACAGGGGCACCGTGGCGGATGAGGTCGGTCAGCTGCTCCATCTTGCGTGATGTACTTGTCAAGGTCTTGCCTGTGCACTTGAGCTCCCTGTCGATCTTGCCAGAACCTGTCTTGAGAGCTTCGTCGAGGCGCCCAGCAAGCAGTTCCACCTGGGATACCTGCAATTTTAGGTCCTCGAAGCCCGTCGCGTAGGCATCCAGCTGCATCTTTGCTCGCCTCGGATAGTTTCAAGATCCTGCTTGCGCATATTCATCGCGATGTCGAGCTGCTCCTTCAACTCGTTGGCGTTGTCAAGGCCCTGTCGCCACCTGCACCTTAAGCACACCGTGCTCTTGCCAAGATGTGTAGCACTCTTCGTGGTGCCCCGCCCAGCGCGTGCCCAGCGAAGTTCACACGGTGATGGTCCTTGCCTTCTGCAAGTTTCTCTTTCACCTCATGGACCTTCTCATCCCGTGAGTTCTCCGCGATCATCTGCGCCTTCAGCACGCCATGGCTCACGTCAAGATCTCTCGTGCCCTCCGTGGTGCCTAGCGCGTGCCCATGGAACTTCCCGAACTGGTGGATCTGCGTCGTGGTGCTCTCGACCTGCTGCAAAGAGTCGGCGGAGCTAATGTCGAGGAGCTGTGGGGCCTTAGTCTCGGCCATGCTCTCCACCTCGCTCGCGGCAGTCTTGTGTTCAACGTGCTTGGCGGGCGCCTTCCCGAGCATCGTCAGGCCAGCAGCCCGTGTGTGTCCGAGGCCCTGTGGGTGAAGAATTCCACCGCAAGGCCATGATCCTTCGCCACCGCCAGTGGCTGCCCCTTCTCGGCGGCGGTCGGCATCGGCACGCCCAACTTTTGCAACCCGGTGTTGCAGCGCTGCTTCTCCAGCACCGTTCTCAAGCCGGAGTCGCCATCATTCGGGCAGTAACCCCCGGGACGAGAGGTGCAAGGCTTGGGTCCACCGTGGCTCCAGTGGGGGAGGAGGAGCAGGAGGAGATGGAGGAGGAGGAGGAGGAGAATGATGCACGAGGATGAGGAGGCTGAGGAGGAAGAAGAAGAGGAGGAGGAGGAGGTGGAGGAGGAGGAGGAGGAGGAAGAGGAGGATGAGGATGAGGATGTGGACCTCACCGTCCGGTACGCCGTGCTGGGCGACGCCGAGCGCTTCGTGGCAGCGGCCCAAAGGGATGGCGCCCTCAACGCTGAGGCTGCAGCCGAGGAGCGGCGCCGCTGCCCGACCGGGCGCGCGCCGTGGTCCGTCTCCTGGCCCTCGACACGGGGGGCCGGCACGGCAGAGCCGCTGTGCGCCATCTGCGGCTGCTGGCGCGGGGCCTCGTGAGGAGGAGGAGGAGGAGGAGGAGGAGGAGGAGGAGGAGCGAGGAGGAGGAGGAGGAGGAGGAGGAGGAGGAGGAGGAGGAGGAGGAGGAGGAGGAGGTGGGAGAGGAGGGGAAGGCGGCGCGGCGGTGGCCGGCGCCCTGGCGCAGCGCCGTGGGGCCGAGCCGTCGGCCGCCCTGCACGGCGCGACGGCCCGGCAGCTGCGCACGAGCCTCGGGTGAGGCCGAGCGGCCGGCGCAGCTGTTCTCCGCGAGGCGGCGGCGGGCTGAGCTGGCGGGCGCGGCGGCAGGCCAAGCGGCGCTCCGGGGCGTGGTGACGCTGCCCGCCATCATCCTGGCGCTGGTCTATAGGTCCGTCGTGGAGCTCGTGGCGCTCAGAGGGGGCGTGCGTGCGTGTGTTTAGTGTCCTGACGAAGGAGGAGGAGGAGGAGGAGGATGGACGGACCAGAAGGATGAGGAGGAGGAGGAGGAAGAGGAGGAGGAGCAGGAGGATGCCACCGACAGGTGGCCGTCGCCAGCTCAGTCCTCAACGACCTGTGGAGCTACTCGCTGAGCGAGGGCAGGTGGTCGAGGCATCCCAGCGGTCGGGCTGGGGAGGGGGGGGGGGGCGCGGGGGGGAAAGGGGCAGGATGGCAGAGGAGGAGAAGAAGGAGGAGAAGAAGGAGGAGGAGGCGGCGGCGGTGGCGAAGCGGTAACGGGCCAAGTCGAACGGAGCTCCGACAAGACAGCGAGCGAGAACGGGTTCCGAATTGTGTGGCCTGCCGTGCGCAGGAACTGCACCACGAGCTGTGGCCCCCACGGCGGGAGCCCCGACCGCTGTGTCGCGCAGCCAGGGCAAGCCACGGTGAGAGTTCATTAGTCACCGCCCACCAAACCACCCCAAACCCAACCCGAAGGCCACGATTTGCCCTCCATTTCCAGTGTGGGGGGGGGAGGGGTCGGGGAACATCGGAAAACATGAGGAACCCGTACCCCCCCCGACCCGAAATTCGGGTCAAATTCGGGTTGGGTTGGGGTGGTTTGGTAGGTAGTCAATTCGGGGCCAGGGCGGGCTCCAGAGGGCAGGACGGACCAGGGTCAAACAACAGACCACCTGGAGGGTCCCGCCCGTGGCCACTCTGACAAGCTCTTCGAAACTGTACCGGCGGGGCGGCACAGGAGGATGCGGAGGAGGAGAAGGAGGAGGAGGAGGAGGAGGAGGAGCAGGGAGGGGGAGGAGGGAGGGGGAGGAGGAGACGGAGACGGAGACGGAGGAGGAGGAGGAGGAGGAGGAGGAGGAGGAGGAGGAGCAGGAGCAGGAGCAGGAGCAGGAGGAGCAGGAGGAGCAGGAGGAGGAGGAAGAGCAGGAGGGAGTGGGACCAGAACAGCGGCAGCACGGCACGGTGCCCCCACCTCGCACAACCTCTCAGTGCACCTCTTCGACGCTGGAGTTGCGGTCGATGTGTGGAGCAGGGCAGAGCCCTCGACCACATTCAAGCTTGAAGCCGACGCCGATGCGTGGAGCAGGGTAGAGCCCTCAACCACATTCAACCTAGAAGAAAGGGCGCCATCAGCGCCTCTAGAAGCCACGTGGTCACCAAAAACTGCTCCCGTAGAGCCCTCAACCACATTCGGTCTCGACATTGACGCCGATGTGTGGAGCAGGGTAGAGCCCTCAACCACATTCGAGCTCGAAGCCGACGCCGATGTGTGGAGCAGGATGGAGCGCTCAACCACATTCGACGCAGAAAAAGGGGCGCCACCGCCCCCAGAAGCCAAGACTGCTCCGGCAGAGCCCTCAGCCACATTCGACGCAGAAGAAAGGGCGACTCCAGCGCCAGCAGACTCAGGAGGGGAAGAAACACACAGACACAACTCATCGCCGATTCCCTAGAAGAAATGGGAAACTATGGGCAGTGGGGGGGAAGACAGAAACCCAGAACATAGGAGAAAATATGGGGAATCTCTTTATTTGTGTGTATGTTGTGTGTTGTGTGTTGTGTGTTGTGTGTTGCGTGTTGTGTGTTGTGTGTGTGCGTGTGTGTTTGTGCATTTGTGCGTCCCAGGGCCCCTCCGCAGAAGCCACGTCGCCACCAAAGTCTGCGCCGCGGGCCATCGGCCGCTGCGGATCCCCAGGGCACGCTCGGCTCGTGCCGCCCCCGCGGCGCGGCCGCTGCCCCGCCGGCTGTCCCCGTCCTTCTCCTCCTCCCCTCCTCCTGGCCCCGCCCTCCTTTCCTCCTCCTCCTCCTCCAGTCCTCCTCTCCTCCTCTCCCTCCTCCTCCTCCCACCAGCCATCCCGCCCCCAAAACGACCCAAGTGCGGACCCGCCCTCGGCCACACCACGCCCGACCCTTTCCAGACCCGCCCTCGGTCACACCAAGCCCAGACCCATCTTACCAGTTTGAGACATATCCCTATCCCTATGTTTGACATCACCTCACCTCGATGCCGATCTGAAGGATTCCCTCAGTTTCTGAGGGCCTATCCCTAAGATTGTCCTCGCATTTTGCTCGCCCATCTTAGGGATAGGGATAAGTTCGAGGCTGGCTACCATCTAGAGTCGGGATGGTCCAACCGACTTTCGCCTTGAGCACCAGCAAGAATTTCGAGCCCCCCCCCCCAAAAAAAAAACACGGAGTTTCGAGGGTTTTCGCGTGCCGGGCCTTGGGAGACACAGCTTGGACACCCTTTCGACACGTTTTCGAGACTCTTCCGGGTGCTCGATATGATTTCTGAGATGTTGCCCTTAAGTACGATGGGAGTGACATCATCTAAAGCAGGCTATCTTCCAAGTCGTCGATCGCCAGCTGCAAGGTTCCCTCCACGCGCGACCTCGGGGCGAAGCCCAGCTTCGCTGCTCCCCCGACCTGGACCGCACAGTCCGCGAAGGTGCGCGTCGGCTCCACATCGGCCAGGGCGTACGTCAGCTTCGCGTTGCCTTCTTTGTAGCAGGCGCTGAGCAGAAACCCTCTGATGAGCATACTCATGTCCGACAGGTTGGTAATCTTGTCGAGCTTCGCTTTCTGCTGTTCCCACAAGCCTTTGTTCAGTGCTTCCACCTTCTCTCCCGCCTTCGTGATCACGTCGGCGAAGACTAGAAACATTTGTACGCAGGCGGGCCCCATCGCCGCTTCGGGAAGGGGTTTGGCATTGTCTAGCTTCCAGGCCTCCCTCATCGCTGCCGCCTTGGTCGCGTATGCTCGGCCCGCCTTGTACGCCTCCTTCGCAACCTCCGACCCCTCGTCCAGGATCACCGTCTGGAACGCCGCCGACAGGAGCTGCCTGAGCATGAACGTATTGCCCAGCACCGCCCTCACCAGCCTTGGCATCAGCTTCGCGACCATCCCCTGAGACATGGCAGGTACAAGCTGGTCGTTGAAAGTAGGTATTTTTGGATGCCCAAATCCGAATCTACTTTGGGCGCCTGCCTACCTCAAGAGTCGAGCGGGTTTCCTTCTTTCCTCCTCTTCAGGGGGCGGGCGGAAGCCCAATCTACTTCCAACGCCTTCCTACTTCATGTTTCAACCCACTTCTTCTGGCGTGTAGTGTGTCGACCGTGCCCTCGGGTAACCCGTAGGCCTTGCCGACTGCCATCTTGACATCCTCCTGGCCGAGGCGCGCAGGGGCGACCGCTGCGCCGCCTGCGTCGGGCTGCCGGGGCCGCGGTGGCCTGCTGCCTCTCGTCCCAGCACCCCGCCGAACCAGGGCAGTTTCTTTTGCGGAGCTGGGCGCCCGGCGCGGACGGCCGAACGACCCCTGCAGCGGGACACCCTGGCAACGCGGTCGCCGCCGCAAAAACTGCCCGTTCAACGACCGCGGGGGGCAGCCGCTGACCCAGAGCGGCCGTGTCGAGGTCCTCCTCCACCTCCTCGCCCTTGCGAGCGGCTCCTCTCCCCCGCGGCCGCCAAGTCATCCGCCTGCAGACGGAACGCCAGGAAAGTAGTGTGGGTGTCGTAGACAGTTGCAGGCACGGAGATGGGCGTGCAAAAGGTCACGATTCGCAAAGGGCCCACCTTCCGAGCATCTATGGGCAACGCCATGCCCCCCCCTCAAGGCAGCAACAGTTATGGACGATAATGGGCAAACTAGCCCTTCTGGCTCTATCACCTCGCGCGCAAACGGGGTGGCTCTTGGAGGGCACCGATTGTGTAGGACCGTTTTCGCCGCATGCTCCTGTTCGATGCGCCGCGTGCGGAAGCCCTGACGACAAAAAAACGCACTCGCTTGTCACCGTCATGCTGTGCACAGTCGACCGACAGTTGTGACGTCCCGCCGATGAGAAACGCTGATGTGCGAGCAGGGCCCTACTTTTGGCGAACGTACAAGTGCACACAGCACCCGTGGAGTCCGTGAGGTCACATACCCAGATGGGCACTGGAGGATCTGGAACCGCAGCGCCGTCAAGAACTCCCGAATGAGCTGGCCCAGCAGGCCCGTATATTCTAGGAGGCGGAGCGCTGGCCATTGCACGAGCAGCAGTACGAAGTACCCCAGGATCCAACCGAAGAAAACGATCCCGAAGCCCATGGTCCATGAACAGCGCGCGGACACTGAACCTGAACCTCTCGTCGCCCTCGGAGCCCACGTAGAGGTCCTCTAAGAGCCCCTCCTCCTCTTCCGACCCCTTTCAACAGCTTCGCTACATCGGCGGCGAAACGTCTTGCGCACATGTTGGCCGCGAGGCAACCGTTGGGGAGGATAGTGGGCCCAGGGTCCACGGGGAGCTGTCCGGACACCGATCCCGAGCATGGGTACTGGGAGAGATGAGCCACTTGCGACACAGCCTGAGCCTCCGAACCGTCAGCTCAACCCCAGCAGGAGCAACAGCCACACGCCTGAGCACAGCCTCGTCCCAATCGGCCTTACGCTTGGGGACGGGCTGGTCATTCTCGTCCCTGACCGGGCCTCCATCCCCATTCACCACCTCCGTCTTCTTGCACGCGTCGCCCCCCCAGTATTCTGCGAGCGAAACCGACCAGGACCCTGTCCAGACAACGTTCCTGGGCAGTCGTGAGTACCAGCACCGCAAAACCAGACAACAGCGCCCCCTGGAACCTTCCCATAGAGAAATAACCGCGTCGGCAGGGCAAGATTCTCCTGCGCAGCTCGGAGACGCTACTTTCCCCAGCATTATGTGCACAACCGCTGCAATCCAGCTCGTCACGCAGAAACCGATGAGCACGCGTGAGAGAGCGTTGTGCGTTGCGCGCCGGCGTCACAACGTGCGCGCGAGATGTATCGCCCGCGTCAACACGGCAAGACAAGTCAACAGGCCGCTGAAGAAAGGGCGTCCACGCGGAGCACAAGGCCCCACCAGGCCATATCATATACTCTGGATCATCGGGCGGGACAGGCGGCACCAGTCTCTGTGAAACCCACTCGTCGTGCGTTTGCGGACGAGGTGGAGCAGGAACGTCGCCCCGCGCAGCCTGACGCAGCCGATCCAGCCATCCCTGGATCGGCCTTCTGCAAGTGCGAGCGAGCAACAAAAGATGGCGGCATGACTGTCGCCCCACGAAGGCCCCGCACTGGTTGTGCAGCGTCCTCTCCCCATCCGACGTCTGAACCGCGAATGTCGAAGGCTCATGCCGCT